ATATCATCCCATGAGGACTGCTCGCTAAACTAGAAGGCATGAGGAGTGACTTGTGGGAAGAGTTGGGAGGTAAAGCCAGTGTGAATCCATTTCCCCTGTTAGCTGGTAGTCCCTCCTGTAGGCTTCTGGGTATATAGTGTTTATTATGGAGATGAGCAGCTATAAACTCAATATTTTCCAAGGCGCAGTGAGAAGACTATAAAATAGGCAAATGCTGCGGCTCTCACACAGGAGAGCCATACAGTGAGCAAGCTAAATGGGTGTAGAGGGATTCAGATGGCTTAGTCAGGATAAGGGACTGGGATCTACTGGTATGTCTCTCTCATTTGTGTCTCTCTGCCTCTCTCCCTCTCTCTACCGCTGTCTGTTTTCACACCCCAAAGGCCTTATTTACAATCCTCTACACTGCAGTCGGTGACAACGGTAGTGGGTAACAGAAATTGAAATGTAAGCCTCACCAAATCCCTGGTCATCTGGTTTTAGAAAATGCACTCATGAATTGACAATACACACTCAACTCATGCTAGCATTTGGTACACTGAGTTAACAGCATTATAATTAAAAAGTTATATGATATTTGACAGTATGCGGTGCACTTTTACAGAGTTGCCTCACTGACGTTGAGCAAACATTTGCTCTGCTTAATGATTCATATTCCTCAGTATTATTCTCACTTTCTTTGTCAGTCTGTGCATTGTAATTTCTTCTCTCCCTGCAAGCACAGCTTCCCCCAACTGCTATGCATCTGTCTTTGGTAGTGTTCATCAAAGACCAGTGGCTCCCCTGACACCATTACAAGAATCCAGGATCAAGTTGCTCTACTTTTATTTATGTGTAGTGCTGTGTGTTTAAATATCTTCTTGCGATCTGAAGAGCTTAGTCTGTTTTGACCCAGCCATTATTTCTGTGGTAGGGACCACAAAAAACCCAGACCTCTGTGTCTCATGAGAGATTAGAATCAAAGAATAAGACCAGAGATAGAGAGAGGGAGAGAGAGGGAGAGAGAAAGAGAGAGAGAGTCAGTCAGTTTAGGTATTTTGAGAGTCAGTCAGCCACTTGCCTGTCAAGCAAGTAGCTTCTCAGCTGTCTGCTGATGCCTGATGAAGTAGGAGACATGCCTAAGCATTAATGGAACTGAAACAAAAATAAACAATTTTCAAGTATAAAAAGAGATGCACATACACAGCTGCGTAGAACTTGGCAGGGTTGCCTTTGATTTATTCCTCAGGGGGAAGAAGGACGGTATTTGTGTGTTTGGAAGGGGGAAAAAACATGGCACACAAGGAACATTCCAAGTTCGCCACAGGAAATCAATTTATTTGAGAGGGCAGCCAGGCTAAAAATAGGGAAGCCCCAAACAATAGAGTTGGAATTAATTGCCCAGATTTTGTGAGAAGGCAAGAAGACTCCAGAGAGCCAAAGTTTGTTCTCTGTCTTGTTTTCATATGTGTGTTATGGAAATATTAGTCTGGTCTAGTTGTCATGTTATTTTGTTTTTGGCATATTTCTGCTTGCTTGCAGCTGTCAAAACAGAACTGAATCTCAATCATTTTCTTCCCTGATATGACGACTTACCACTTGTCAACACTACTGCCAGCTGCCTTATTTGACAGGATATGATGATTTATCACAAGTTCTCCACAGTAAATAGACAATAACTGTTTTGTCACACTCCACTGAGTTCTAACTGGGTTTTCGGGAGTGTGTGAGGGAGTGCTGTAGGGGCCTTATGGGGGCTGATGTGCCGTTTTTAATGAGATCTCACAGCAGTGTTTAAATATTTAACCGTTCCTGGTGAAGCCTCCCCAACAGCCGCCAGGCAAAACTGGTGAGGTTTCATGCAATCATCACAGACTATACAGCACCTAACCCCTGAAAACATCAGAAAATAAGCACAACCTGAATATATAATGGCATCCTGAATACACAGCCTGCTGTGCCTAATACCCGCACCTATCGACAGAGACGCTGTCTTTGCCCCTGCAAATAAGTATTCAGACACCATGACAAAGGGTGAGGATGATGATGAAAAGCTGTTGAATTATACATCTGTTTTTTGATGGGATATTTTCAAAACTTTTTTTCTTTTCTTCCGACAAAGTAATTCCCCCATCTCTGCCACGGTTTTGCCATTTCCACCTCATTTTGAGCTCTGCTGTATGTTTTTGACAAACATTTCACCACCGATCAGTTCAACTCCTGCACCCTTCATGTTTTTACATCCCACCACCCGTCATTCACAGAGAATGGCGCTAGGGTGTCTGCCACCACCTGCTGTGTTCAGAGGGAAGGTGCAGTGCTGTGTATGCATTTGGTGTGTGTTTATGTGTGCAACTATGGCAGTGTGTGTGTGTGCGTAGAGGAGATTGGGCTGAATACACAAGATTTTGAAAGGAAGTGAGAGTCAAAGAGAAGACTGAGAAATGACTTAAGTAGGCTAGAAATTGCTGTCTCAAATTGCTCTGTTTCAATCTGATTTTTCTAATCCAATTTGGTGTAATGCTTTTACACACCATCCCTGGCAGTTGTTTAGGATGTTTAGTGAATATTTAGGACAAAGATGGTATTTGAAGCTTCTTGGGGAATGCCATACTGTACAGTACAGTATTCGCAGGTGAGGATAGTATTTGGAAAATGTGCTGTACCTGCCAGCTGGAGGAATCTGGTGGGACTTCAGCCCACAGATGACAGCATCCGCAGCATCTCCCTTCACTTTTGCCTGCCCCCCCCCCCTCTCTATCCACCATCCTCTCCTCCTTTTCCAGTCTTCCCCTCGGCTCCTCTTCCCTCTTTTACACCCACCCTTCCCCCATCACAGACAGCCCATCCTCGCCTGTCTACCAAGCGAACTCAGCTCTCCTGAAATCCACCATCATATCCAGTCACCGCTCTAAGGACCCACTGATTGAAAGGAGCATTATTAGCCCCTGCTAACCTGTCCATTCACTGTGTAAAATGCTGTTTATTTGACATAGGATGTATATAGACATTGCTGTAAGGTCTTTAGAGTTTGGCAGACACTTGGTGCCAAATCATATGCATGACTCCTCTTGCCATGCCGCTTCATGTGGCTGCCAAGTAGAGGCCCACTGGGGTCTTTGCCAGGGGACCCAGACTACTATTCAAACCCACCCCCACCCGACCACACTCCTAACACACACACACACACACACACCTTGTGCTTCCCCCGATGCCCTCTCTCCCTCCCCCAACCTGTACCAGCCCTATGCCCTCCCATTCCCCTCCCACCCCTACCCCCTCAGTCTCCATACCACACTCATTATTAATGATCTGAGGGACAGCTTTCATTTGATCTATTACTTAGGATGGGACGGCGGCTGCTGTGCTGCTGCATCCCTGCTGGATCTTTAATTATTTCATGGAGGGCTTTCCTCCTCTCCGCTGCTCCTTCTCTGTTGTGCAGATGAAATATTGAAGTTGAGGAGTGTAGTGCAAAGTGGCCCCATACAGGGTGAGGTGTGTGTGCGTGTGTGTGCGCATTTTCTACTTTGTGTCTGTGTACTGTACTGTTTATTTGTGTGCATGAATGTGTGTGTAAGGCTGAGCTCCTCCTGCAGTTCTCAGACGGATCTTAGTTTTTCCATAAAATGTGGTTTGGACTTTTATCTTGCAACTTCAGTAGTGAGGTCACAGATTGGAAGCAGATTGTATTAGTTATTAAGTTTTTCCCTGAAACCACAGCTCAACTTCGAAACACACATATTCAATGTGTGAATGTGTGAGTTGTTGTTATTGTTAAGACCTCTGGGTGTTTCCTGGCTATCTGACAGAAACAACTGAACAAATCCTTTAGGAAAAACACCATTAACAAATGTAAAGAGAATTATTTCAGTGCATGTGTAATGTACTGTGATTATGGGCCATTAATGTCATATTACAGTTGCGTTGAGGGGCAGTAATGGCATGATATCACCACTCACTTTTTGTTGCCAAGAATAACAAAGCATAAAAACATCTGACGTGGAAATATGGCTGACACCACAGGCACTGCAACTTTGCATTCAGGTATGATGTATGGTGTAATGCCTAATTGCTTTGCTCTCCCACTTCATAAATTTCGGGCTCTCTTGAGACAGAGGCTACTGTGTTAATGGCAATCAAAATTCCACACAGGTTTGTGCTACATTCATTTTGTGTCAAACCGCACATCCGCAGCGACACCAGGCAGCTGAGGGCTTATGAATTCAATAAAATGTCTGGAGATACTTACCTCATGCAGGAATCCATACTCCATAAACATAATGACACCTTATTTTAGTTTATTTGATTACATGTGATGGTATGATTTGCATCCACAGCACCTCTCCACTCAGTAAAACACTGGATTGCTGTAATTGGTAGTAGGAGTAATCCATGCGCTTATGTGGGGGAGCACTGGAATGACATTGATATACAGCGCTCCATTAATTGCCATATGAATAGGGTCTGCAGTGGTTGGCGCTCTGCTGATGCATCACAGTAAAAGAGATGGGTCACTCTGTCTTCTCCAGCCCGCAGCTTTGCCAAGCTCATAATTACTAAAACCTCCAATTAATCTTCCCATCACATAGGGCAAATATACACTTCCTCCATACATAAATGAGTTACAGTATATGCTCTTAGTAAATGCGCAGGACTGTGTGTATGTTTACACAAGTAGGTGTGCATGTGTACATTTATGTGTGCACTGCCTGTGAATGCCTGTGCCCATGAGAACATCAAGTACAAACAGCAGTATATGTTCTCAGTGCACTTGATAGCTCCACTGCGAGCCACACAGGTTATCAATACAAGTGATATCAGATGTGTCAATATTACAGTCGATCTGTAGCATACTGTTTTTTTGTAAAAAGTCAATGTGTTCACAGACAGAAGTTCGTATGCAGTTATATAAGCAAGCTTTAAACACAGACATACTGGTATACAGTTTGCATAACAAACTTCTTTGTAAGGCTTACGTAAGACATAATCACTCACCCAAACAAATATTTAGTGTCATTTTCTTTTAATTTGAAACATATTTTCAACATATTCACAAACATATATTCACAAATTATTATGATTACTAAGTGTTTTATTTGAATGTAAATTGGATTCTATCATTTCTTTCAATGTTTTCATTCTTGAGGGTCTACTGCATATTTAGAAATGTGGATGTTTGTGTGCCTAAAATGAAATATAACTGACTGGTGCTTATATGAATGTTTCTATCCATTTCCTCGGTGTCTGTCCAAATACAAGTGGTTGTCAATAAGTGCAGGGACACTATGTCTGAAGGCTACACTGTGTCTATTTCTGAGAGGTCACAACAGCAGTTAAATGCACACTTCTTAACAATACTTGTGTGTGTGTGTCAGAATCTGTGTGTGCGTGTGTGTCTACATGAATATGTATTTCTGATTGTAGCATGCAGTTCTGGCCCCTGGCTATTCAACCTTTACTCATTCTGAATAGAATCTCTTCTCCACACTCCAATCTGGTCACCATCCCTCCTACTATTGCATTCACAACACCTTACTGGCACCCAGTGGTGCAAGGAGGTACTGCATCCACTTGATGCTTGGCTGACAGCAGGGGAGACGGAGAACTGCTTACAAGTGGCATTTGGCCCTAATTAAAAGCTGCACTTGTTGGAGCACTTGGTCTGCAGAAGGACTAGCATCCACAGTGACGCAAGCTGGGCCAATGATCCTCCGGTAAGCCTCCTCCACTCTGCAAAGACACACATGAACAACCAAATTGGTGAACAAGTACGGAAAATAAGCATATAAACACAGCAAACGACACTCTGCATTACAACGAATAATCTGCTTTCAGATGTGTGAGTATTTTGACTGCCTGCTTCCAGTTTTGATGAACAGTGAGGAGTGAGCGATAAAAATGCACAACATCTAAGAAATTTAATATGAGAAGAAACAACACAGATGGCTCAGAGCGTTTCCTGAGACAAATAAAGAATAGTCCTTGTGACAGTGATCGACCAAGACTGCAGAATCTCTCACTCTCTCAGCGGCAGACAGTCAACTCGCTCCATTTTCTAATTCTGCTGGCCCAACATCTGGCTGTCCCGTGTGGAAAGGCCATTATGTCAGGATAGAGGATGAATGAAAGTAGCCATCGACCTGTCTGCGTAGCGACTAACTGGGCCGGCAGTGCCTGTGAGTTTTGACCAGCTTAATGGAGCACAACAGCTCAGCAACTAATCACCTGTTCTTTCTCATCAGCTGCTTCCCCCACGGGACAGTAATTGATTGTTAAGTGTTTGATGGATCAGACGAAGACTGAGCTGACCTGACTCAGTGAAACGAGCAGTACGGTTTTTATCCCATCTGTGGTTTTATGTTTTCACACTCAGTGAACTTTTTTCATCACAGACTGTAGAACATTTTTCCACACACGTCACATCGCTAAATTGGTTTTCTTCTTTCTTTTTCTGTCATTACCCACTCTGGGTACCATACAGTTGTACTGTCATACTGGACCTCAGTCATATTAATAGAACAGTGCATACAGTGCAGTCTTATATTATGAGAACTCCATTTATGTTAAAATGTACGGCTACTAAAAAATGTCTTCTAAAACGGTTAAAGTTTTTGATCAAATTGTTGATTCCAGTGCAATTTCAGAAATTGTATTTTATAATTTAAGGAATTAATAGTTTAAACAAATTCAACAACTGCCAGAGGTTTTTTTCTCTTGCTTTAAGAAAAGTTATCTCAGTATTTTAGCTGTCCGAAAAGTCAATTCACTATTTTATCAACTATTACTATAATTTTGATAATCAATTAATAGTCTGAGACATCAAGCAAGTACACATAAGCCAGTTGAAGACATCACCTTGGGTTTCTGGTAAATTGTGATAGAATTTTCCCACCATTTTTTGATGATTTATTCAAAGAAGCAATCAACAGATTGGTAATCAACATAATTAGCTCTACTATTTCACATGCCTGATTGTAAACTTGTAAACTCAAACTTATGTATATATCCTACACATATATTATGTACAAAATGATATCCAAACATCTCACTTGAGTCTGAAAAGCTGGTTGTGGTCCAGCTCTTGCTCCTCTTCCGTCTTTCCTTGACCTCTGTCCCTCAGCCTCCTTTTCCTCTCCTCAGGATCCAGGGTGAGTAAGATCACCAGGCTGGGCTGGAGCAGGTCACTGGGCCAACGGTAAACCTCCGAACCCTCTGCTGGAAGGTTGCACACTGAACCGCCCACTGCTGTGGCAATGGCATATGCTGCTGTGCTGTGCCAGAATCTGGGGAAAGATAATGGATGGTGGATTGAAAGGTGAATGATGGATGGATGGATGGATGATCAGGTAACTGGCCTCGCAGGAGCAGAAGATGTTAAGCATTCAATTGTAGGTCTAGATCCCTGGAGAATATTGTCACAAAACAGGCAAACTTCACACATCAACACACACAACTTTGTGACATCTCAGCTGTCTTTACCTGTCAACGATGACAGGTGTCTTCATGCCCTCCTGGCCTACTTGTTCTGCCGTGATGTAGTTCCCCAGAGCGTAGAACGCCCTGCGGATAAGGGGCGGCTCCTGATCAAAGCAGGCCCTCAGGGGGGACAGGCACTGGGGAGGGGACCGCAGAAGAGTGGCCCCCAGAGTATCCCTCAGAGACTCAGTCAGAGTGGTCTTACCTGTGATGGGAAGAGTGAGGGAGAAAAAAAGAAAAGGCACAAACAAAGAAGAAACACAATGACTGGGTACAGTTTCGGAAAGCAAAAGGCAGAATTCATCATATTTTTTAAATGTAATAAGGGACTGAAGTGACTCTGGAAAAGTTGACTGAACTAAAACTCCCATCCTACCTACATGGTTGAGCTTTCATGAGGTTTCGCAAAGAGTATTAGATGAGCAAGCTCTTCAATAAACCATTTTCTCAGTGATGTAACTTTTCTGAGGTCATGATACATGATATTCCATTAGGCGAGGCTCGCTGGCAGATAATGGCTTTAGCAGAGAACAACTGGCCATCACTTTAGCAAGACATCTATACATCAAACTGATCCCATATTTATTTATGAGGTAATGGCATTAACCTGTGGCATCCAGGCCCTCTATGACAATAACAGGGAAGTCTGGTTTACTTCTGGCCGGCGCTCTGCTGGGCAGCAGCTCCATAACAGACGTTGCCTCTGGGATGATGTCACCACACTGCAGAACAGACACAATCAGTTTTCTGCTGTGAGAGGAGGCAGGGGGGAGTCATACACTGCGCACATGAACACACGCACCCCTGTGGGCCACCTGGCACTGATAGATAAATGGAATAATCAAGTGCCACTTTGGGCAGCTTGGTGTACGCTGCTATACCTTTATCTACCGCATGAGGGTGCCATTTTTACCATTCCTTGCAAATAAAGCATATTTCTATACTATTTGTTTATGCGCATATCATAACGAGGCTGGGATAAGAACCTCTTTCAGGACTTCACAGGCATCTTCAAAGCTGTAGAAAACATCAGAGTTGATGATGTTGAGAGTAGATGGGTGATATTCTGGCGGCTGTGAAGGCACCACACAGTACCCCTTTGACATTTCCACGGTTTGGCTGTCTGCATGAGACCACAGATGCTGACACAGCTGGCCGTCCTTGCCTCTCAAGTAGGAACACACAAGCACAGGATCACGCCGTATTAAATCTCGCAAAAGTCTCTCTGACGGGGAAGAACTCTCAGAATTGTCTTTTAGAAAGTACCCCCTGATGAGAGAATCCTTGACATTTGGCAGAAATGAGGACATGGGAGACACATCACACTCCGGAGGCAAGTCTCTCAACAATTTCTCTTTCAGCTCCGCGTAAAACTTGGCTCGCTCGACCCTGTCGCCGCCGCAGACGAGGAGAGAGTAACACCTGTCATGGTCTCGGACTTTGCTGAACACCCGCGGCGCTTCCTCTCCCCGGTGCCTTTCTTGAATGGAGAAGTAGTGCGCTGCGCCGTCCAGCTCCACTGAAAAAACACGCGTGGACCACTGAGGAAGGAGAGACATTGTGCGCCGTGCCATCTGCTAGCCGAGCCAGTTGTGATCAGTTTCCAGTCTAATGATACTTACTGCGGCATTACATAAAGTGGCCGCTGCCGGGAAAACGAAACTAACTGGCCCCTAACTGGGGAAAACGAAACCTAATGAGTTGTGCTACTAATTAACGGGGAATGTTTTCCTTGAGTCCGAGTTATGTTTGTGGAAGAACCGGTTCAAATAGTTGCTGGTTGTGTCACACTAAAGTAGGGTGCCTGTGTCATCAGTTTGACACGTGCCGGGGGTGTGGGTGCAGGAATGAAAGAAAAGAAACCGGTTATTATTATTTTTATTATTATTATCACTAAGGAAGCAGAGATGGATAAAGGTGGAAGGCTTGCAGAGGAAACACAATCCTCTGGATGGCCCTGAAAGCTGATAGGCTGTTTCATTGACAGTAATTAATATATTATTGAAGACGTGCTAAAACATTTAATAAGGCGAGCATGAAATAATAGAAAGAACGTCAGCAGGCAACCGTTTACAAACATGCTTTGCCTCTGTGCAAGTTTCAAAGGTCATCAAAAGCATTGTTACAACTAAGTTTTATTATAGAATGGCATCTTATATCAGTAACATCCAAACTTAATCACTTATATCTGTAAATATATCTGTAAAATAACAACTGTTTTCAGCTTTGTGACAATGCATCTTCCAGATACTCGAAGAGAGGGTTGTTAAATAGTTTATTTAGCTTAAGAAGAGACTTTGCCCAACCCATAAAGGGAACACTTGATTCTCAAGTTGATCAGAAATGCAATATCATCACATTTGGAGATACATGGTTTTCACTGGACAGGAAGGGTGTGAAAACCTCTGATCTGATAAGTAACTAGTAACTAAAGCTTTTTCAAATTAAGTACTGAAGCAGAGATGAATAAAAGATGATTTTACTGACAGTAATTAATATATTATTGAATACGTGCTAAAACACTGACAATGCAAGCATGAACATCAGCAGGCAACCATTTATAAACATGCTTTGCCTCTGTGCAAGGTTTTAAGTCTATCAAACGTTTTATTATATAATGGCACCTCATATAAGTAATGCCCATATTTAATCACTTATTAGTTACCATAAAGTTCACAGTCCTTCTTGTTGTTCCATCTGTATAATGACTGAAGGTGTGTTTACTTGTAAGGCTGATTTAGAACTTCGCCTGCAGTGTCACATTGTGTGCAGTCATCTGTCGCGCACCCAGCTGAGTTTCGTTTTCGCTGTTTGTAAACAGAAACTCAAAGCTGCTCAGCTGAGCAGCTTCACTGTCCTACACACGCCCTGCAGCCACCTATTTAAGAGGCATCCACAGTCCGAACGGAGCATGTCTGATTGGGTCGGTCTGAAGATGCAGTTATCCTCTGTACTCTGGTCTCCGAAGCTGCTGCTGCAGCTCTGCATCAGCACCCTGCACGGCATTCTGGCGAGCGTCTTTTTAAAAGTTCGTCAGTGGACAGCGGGAGCCTGCAGGGGAACGATAACCTCACCTGTGTCTCCCGTTGACAGCAAACAGGACCAGAGCAACGTACAGAATGCGACGACTCCGACAAGTGTCAACTATCATTTTACACGCAAGTGTAATTACAAATGTGGGTTTTGTTTCCACACTGCAAAAACATCCTTCGTCCTTCCTCTAGAGGAAGCCAAGAGGGGGCTCAAACTTCTGAAGGAAGCAGGTAAAGTGGACTCATCAGTATATCCTGTTTACGGAGCCTCTAAAGTCCCAAAAGGCACAAGTTACTTATCTTGTGCGCAAACTCCACTACAAGTAGTGCATTCAAAACCTTAGTTAAGTAAAAGTTATGACCAAACTGTACTTAAAGTATTAAAAGTATTAATATTAAATAATTAATATTAAAAGTAGACATTATCATTATGCGGAAAAATGATCCCTGTCAGTGTTATAATATTATATATGATTATATATTTTTTTATTCTATACTGCTACTACTACTGTAGATGTTTAAGCTCAAGCTAATTTTAACAACTTTATGTACTGTTGGGTAGTTTCATCTACAGCAATACATCCTGTTCTGTAAGATCATCATATGTTTGTAGCATTGTGACAATGCATCTTCCAGATAATCCAGAAGGGTTTTTAAATAGTTTATTTAGCTTAATAGAATAGAATTTTCTTAACCCAAACTTGATCCTTAAGTTCATCCGAAATATTCTAATAACTAAAGCTGTCAGAGAAATTAAGTGGAAGTAAAACATACAATATTTTCCTCTGAGATGTAAATACTCAGGTAAAATACAAGTACCTTAAATTCTTAAGTAGAAGATTAAATGTCATTGGTCTTTTGTGTGGTGTCAGACCTCTAGCATGCAGTTTAATTTATCTCTATGTTTATCAGGCATGGAAAAGATCAACTTCTCTGGCGGAGAGCCTTTCTTGCACGATAAAGGAGAGTTTCTGGGGAAGTTAGTTCAGTTCTGTAAACAGGACCTCCAGCTCCCAAGTGTCAGCATCGTCAGCAACGGAAGCATGATCAAAGAAAAATGGTTCCAGAAATATGGTAAGACTTTTAACTCTTCTTCTCTTTACCAGATTGTACACTTAGTTGTGAGCTTATTTTTAGTCTAAGAAGAAGGGCTTCATTGTTATGCAAAATTATGCGCTCTCTCTCCCCATCAGGTGACTATCTGGACATCTTGGCCATCTCTTGTGACAGCTTTGACGAAGATACCAACCAGCTGATTGGCAGAGCTCAGGGCAGGAAAAGCCACCTCGACAACCTTTACAGGATTTGTGACTGGTGCAAGCAGTACAAAGTGGCATTCAAAATCAACTCGGTCATCAACACCTTCAATGTGGACGAAGACATGGCGGAGAACATCACTAAGATTGGCCCCGTCCGCTGGAAGGTAACATTAAAAAGCAAGAGTATGTTTGTGTGTATGAGTCTCTTGGCACACATACTCACCCTCTCTGTCTGTGCTCCCTGTGTGTTCAGGTATTCCAGTGTCTGTTGATTGACGGGGAAAATGCAGGAGAGACAGCCCTGAGAGAGGCGGAGAGGTTCGTCATCAGTGACCAACAGTTTCAGGAGTTTCTGGAGAGACACAGCAGCGTCTCCTGCCTCGTTCCTGAGTCCAATGAGAAGGTATGAGGTTGTTAATAGTAAGATTTCCCATATTGAGATACTGTGACATTTGTTGATACCAAGTTATATCACATTTTAAAGAACAAGTCACTGTTGTCCATTCCTACATAATATTCCCATTATGTAGTTGTCCTGTCCACATTTAGCACTTTAGTCTCTCTGATTTTATAATACCAGGGTACAATAAACAGTGGTCACAACACTACTTGTGGCTGAAGCCAAATTGTCATCCGAATGCACCCTTAACACTGTGCACTCAGTTTGTACAGATAGAAGTAAATGGAAAAGAGATAGCAAACTCATAACTGGAGTGCAAGAGTCCAATTCAACCTGCATCTTGGCAGTAACCTTTTTGTAGGACATTTCTTATTGCAAGTGGAGCAAATAATGTGACGATGTTGAGAATCCCATGTTAAAGTTTTTGGTCTTGGTTGTCTTCACAGATGAGGAATTCCTACCTGATCCTGGATGAATATGTAAGTACCTTATATTGTTTAAGATTTAAACACAGTCCTCTTATTTCTACTTACACAGGCCATGTGAGTCTTTCCTTATTTAATTGTTAATGTAACTAGGCCATTAGGTTGCTGAAGTAAGTTTTTATTTTTGTCAAATTTAGGGAAGTTAGAATGGGAAGTCATTAAATAGTGAATGCTTGAATGGAGTTGAAAGACTTAAGTCTGGCATCATTTAAATAATTAAAATTTGCAGGTTTTTAAGTATTTGGCTCATGTTCTTATAACTGTTCGAAACATGTTTGTTACAGATTTACCATTTCTTCATTTTTCAGATGCGTTTTCTGGACTGTCGAGATGGAAGAAAGGACCCGTCCAAATCCATCCTCGATGTTGGTGTGAAGGAGGCCATTTGCTTTAGTGGCTTTGATGAAAGGATGTTTTTCAAGAGAGGAGGGAAATATGTGTGGAGCAAAGCTGACATGAAGCTGGAATGGTGAAAATCTGGATGGTTGATATATGTCTGTTGATAGATTGCACAATTTGTACAGTACTCGTGTTTTTATTTTTATTTGTGTGTGCTACTTTTATAACTTAAGACATGTTGAATTTAAAGTCACAATTTTTGCACTTTCTTGTTTTGATAGATTGGTTTATAGATTATTCTTTCCTTGCACTGCAGACAGCTGTGTGACCAAATATATTTTAATAAAAACACTTATTTGTGAAAATTGTGAAAGTTTTTATTTTGTTTTAGTCAGCACGTAGCACGCTACATTATCATGAAAAATCCCTTTCTTCCAATATGGCTGATTGAAGACCAGCCTGAAGGTCCAGGCATAAGATAAACAGTTTTAAGAAAGATACATTATACATCACTTTCATTTAAACAACTTAAATATAACTACATTTTCTTCATATTTGTTTATACAGCACATTTAAATCAATAAAACTAATTCAAAAATAAAATGGACTAAGAAATCCAACAATATAAGATAAAAAGATGAAAACCTAAGACGTAAGTTTTGTGACATGTGATTTAAAAGATTCTGCATAGTAGTAAGTAAACTGGTCACACTGGCTCTCGTAACAACATGTGACTTCCAGTAAAGTAAAGATGCCATTCATGACTTTGACAACTGAAAGGAATTCTAACCATGTAATCCTCAGGTTGAGCGAGAACTACTCTCTCTACTCGTTCAGTGCGTCACCAAGGCATCAGACATCCACCCCAACAAATGCTATTAACACATGCCATTTAGTGGATATTTTAATCTTTGCCAACCTCAACAGACAGGTTCTGTTATCTCTACTGTTAAAGGCAAGTCTCTAATTGCTTTACTGCTTTAGCAACCTGGTAGACAACATAAATACATTCATATTGCTCTACCTTGCCTGACATTGTATATGGATGTTCTAATGGAAGGCTAACTGATTAATTAACTAATCATTTCAGCTGTACCTGTATATACTGTTGGGTGGTTTCCTTTATAAGAAAACATGTTTCTTTAGCCATTTTGTAGGTTTTGTGCAAATATATAACAAGCTTTCAGATAATTATTCCCTCTGATTTGTAGTGAAGTGAATTGTCAGAACGTGGCATGAAAAGACTAAAAGTACAGTTACCCCAAATTTTTAACTTAAAGATCCCCTCCAGACATGCATTAAGACATATACAAATAGTCTGCTTGGCTTCCAAACTATTTTTGATTGACACAAATTATGCTCACATAAAAATCTGATTTTCAGTGAGAGAAACTTTTTCCTTCTAGTGTCAAAGTCTGCACATACACCATTCTGCACAGTGAAGCTCAAACACCCAACTGTAGGAATATGAAGAAAACCATAGCTTTGAGTGGAGGGGGACTTGAAGCACAATATTTGAGTAAACGTGCATTCCACCACTGCTGGAGGGATTACGTTTCTATGACTGTTAAAATGGGGCGATTGCGGTAGTGTGCCAGCAGGGGGCGCTGCTGTTTGTGAAACGCTTGGCGGGGGCGCTGAGCTCTCTCTTAAAGCGACAGGGCAGCACGGCAGACAGGGAAAGCCTCTGACGAACAAATGGCGTCTCTCCAGTGCGGAGCAGCTGATTTCCTCCCGAGCACGGCAGCAGGGACGGCGGAGAGGTAAACACACCGCCCTCGGATCTTTTTTTTTTCTTGCAACCACACAGCCTCTCGCTTTTTCCCCGCAGGATTCGTGCGGCAGGCTGACGGCTGGACGTTTTCGGTAATCGAGAGCAGAGCGCTGTTCCGGTGTACAAACAATCCGACTGTCAAGCAAAACAGATTGGAGAGTGTCAGCTGCAGCTTCCCCTCCGCTCGGCTTGTTTATCTACGCTGTGCTCGCCGATGGTGGCTGTTAGTGTTTCACCGGGGCCTGTTCTCAGGCGCTATAGGAGACAGTAGCGGGTCAAATGTTCCCACCCCGCTGTCGGAGGGGCAAATTATGAACATGGGCATCACCCCTTCAGAGATATCCTCCTCCTCCTCCTCCTCCTCCTCCTCCCGCCTGACTGGTTGGCCGCGTCTTCGTTAATCTAATTCAGGAGATCATCTTCTCAACCTTTCCCGAGGTTACACCATCAAGACGGCGTTATCTCAGAAAGCCAGGTAAGGTTTAGGGCTTTTTTATTTTGATTTAATTCAGTGTAACACGGCAGGAGCTGTATGATCTCCCAGCCTCTATTAGAAACTGCTGTCGCATTTTATTTTCGCCATTTCCTCGTTTTTGACAGCAGGATGTTTTGTACTTGTACCGGCCGACTGCTAGCGATGTCTGAGGTGATAACTCGTTGTTGGCCTATTTTAGAGTAAACAGCTGCAGTGAATAGGTGACCAAGCTGGCTGCAGGTAGCTGCCTCAGCAAGGGTTTAATTTGTTTTCTGGTGTGGTGTGTGTGTGTGTGTGTTGCTGACACTTGATCAGAGTTGCTGTAATTGCTGTTTACCACAGCCTTAAATCATATTTGTTTCCCAATACAGCAGCTGCACAGTGTTGCATCTGAACTCCCCGAGCACAACATGCTCAGAGTGGATGGCTCCACCGAGCTCTGAAAGGTCACTTGGTGCCCTGCTATTTCCATTTTAAGCAGCAGGTCCCCCCTTCAGGGTACAGTCAGATTATAGGCATAGCTATGAAACCAGGCTACTAGACAAACGGAGCATTCCTCGCAGCCAGCGCTGGTCAAGGCTGTGAGGTAGGTAGGTGTGTGTGTGTGTGTGTGGTACATGAAATTCTAATGCACCTGCACACTGTATTCTGTGTGTTCTGTGGTCTATCACGCTGTATTATCTGCTCTCAGGTAGGCAAACGTGTTTGTGTTTTACATCGCATGACAGCAAAGGAAGGCAAAATGTCATCAGCATCATGTAAAAAAAAACGTTAAATATCAGATGTCAGTGGGTCACTTTTCTTTTTTTTACATGGTGTGTTTATGTGCCTGGTTCTGTCCATGTGCCAGCTTTTATGAAATGCATTCAACATATTGGGAGGCACACACGAGGTCCACCCCATTATGAACCTTGGCTTTTAAAAATCCCTCTCTGTGTGCTATTGATTCTCTCTCCAGTGTCATGCTTTGAGCCGTATTGCAGGAGCTACGGAGTGAATCACCCACATGGACACACATTAAGGCGATGTTGTGATGCATGTTGTTTTTCCATTCTCCTCTCCAGAAGGAGCCTGTTCCCATGGTGCAACAAGCCACTGTGTTTGCTGCTGCATGTTTGTTCAAAACAAGAGAAAGATGGTCCGTACAGAACAGTAACACATTCCTTAGAGTGACCTGCAGCCGTCAGCCCGTTCCCACAGGACAGTGGAGATGAGTTTACTTAAGAGGGAGAAGGAATGAGGTTATGATGCCCAGAACTTGGCGTGCCATTCCAGTCCAGTGGGAGTACTGTCACGATCAGAAAATACACAGGAACAGATGTGTACACATGCATGCACATATATGAAGAGCACTTTATATAGACATAGAGGGGCTATGATTGTTTTAGCATGCTGTGTTAGCCTCACACACAGCACAGGCACGTCTCTCAGTAAAGCCTTATCTTAGCCATTCATGGGTCTGCCTGGCCTTGGCCACGCCACATACTGAAAGATATTACTGCTGCGCTTAGAAAAAAAGATCTCTGCTGAATGTTATTGTGATGCTGATGATAAGGCACTTTGGTAAACCCAACAGATATTCTGATTGCAGGGGAAGAGTTTGTCCCTGGGTTTGTTTTACATTGACTCAGCTTTCATAAAATCGTTCTGCAAAACAAGGCCTCTGAAAGATTGGTGGTTTTTTGCTTTGAAGATGAATTATTAGCACTACATGAATGCAAATAATACAGTAAGACTAGTAACTGCAATATTACTACCTTCCTGTATATACTGTACATACTTTCTGTTCCTTGATTTGTAGCATGTCACTTTATGTTCTGTTGCAATCACACAAGTGTGTTTGGGGATTAAACAAAGGAAGTGCTTTGGTTTTCTAGGCCTGAATCGGTCTGAGGCAAATCTTGCAGTTCCTGAAGAGGCTATCTGCCTGTGTAAGAGTTATAAACCTCATCAGCTCTACTGTGGATCACCTAATGTTAAGGAGATTAGTCAACCTGAGACGGAGTTGATCTAGAAATGTGACACACATTTTGTTTAAATACACTTAACCCGCGATTAAAACTCAATTACTGTCAGTTCCTCATTACCTAAGTCTTGTTAGAGTTGAGGAGGGTCTGTGAGCGCAGGACGTGTAAGTGTTTTTGAGGTTAGGTAACTGGCATTTCTAAATAGACTTAGCTGTCTCACATATACAGTACACTACTGCAGTGCACGATGGTTGAATCACTTCTTTATTCTAGTACCATTTCCACGTCTAGAGAAGTGATTTTTGGTGTAATCTGACTCCAGGGGTTGTAGTCTGCCTTTGTGCAGTCAGACTGCCAAGGATTATGCAACA